AGAGAGAATGAGATAGAGAGCATGAGAGGGGGGAGGGTCAGAGAGAGAGGCAGACTCCCTGCTGAGCAGGGAGCCCGACGCGGGACTCGATCCCGAGACTCCAGGATCATGACCTGAGCCAAAGGCAGTCGCTTAACCAACGGAGCCACCCAGGCGCCCTACCCTTCTCTCTCTTGTCTTTTTCCTTCTTAATATCAACACAGACTCATGGATTCTTCTTTAATCCCATATGCTATACCCCATACCTATCATTATTGGTTTTGATACTCAGATTATCCCAGATAATCTGGCAGTGGGAACTGGTTTGGGGCTAGCTTCTGTATCTTTGTGCCATGCTTCCATCATTTTTTTTAGTACTCCATATTTTCTGATAAAAAAAGATACTTCAGGTATACCTTGTACCTTTCTTGCCCCAGCCCTGCAATCAGCCATTTCCTCAAAGAGCTCTGGTACCTTTTAGTGGATAATGCTTTTTAGGAACCAAGATCTGAACATGAGGAGTGCTCATTGCTACTGGGACGTCATGCTTCCATAGGACAAATGCACCACATGGGAAGTTGGGCCCAGAGTCCTCCAGGGAGCTGTGACATCAACAGAGGCTGAATTCAAAATTGGAACCAAGTATCATCTTCTAAGTACAGGAAATATTTATTGTTTTCAGGTGACTAGCATCCAGTCCACATTCATCTGGTAACAGCACCCCTTTGTCCTTTTGGGGAATCATCCATCCCCTCTGTGAATCATCATGGTGGGACTGTAAATCAAGGTGTTTGGAACCCCTTCTCATATCCAAGAGGTGGCATTAAATCCCTAAAGCAGACAGGTGCCCCTGAACCCAGGAAGGATGCTGAAGAAAAATCCTGAGACAGGTATGAGCATAAGAGGGTTTGACCACACATCCAGAGTTGACAAAGCCAAATGACCTCCAAGGTGAAATTAAACGCCCCTCTCCAAGGCCTGTTGGTTTCTCATTTAGTGAGAGCCTTTATCCCACACAGTTGAAAGCGCCCGTCTTTGCAGACAAATTCTGACACAATAGAGCCCATTTCGAACTTCTTTCCCTCATATTGGTTCTTTCGTACATTCTTTCCACTTCATAGAATTCAGTTGTTTTGACAAATGTCTAGATGGCTAGTGATACATTTTCATATCCTTCCAAATCCTCACAATAGATACCCTGCTTGTAAATCAGCATGGCTTTTTTTCTGAGGAAAAGCTTCTAAAACTTTGTTCATCTTGTGTCAGTCCCTGCAGGGTTTCTTTATTTGCCTGCTTGCTTGTTTGGTGGGGAGCAAAAGAAAAGCCTGAAATCCTGATACACCTTCAAAAATTATGAAATCTATTTACCTTCCATTTTCCTTTATTTGAATCCTTTTCCCCCTCTCTCTGCCTTGTTACTCTTCTAATCTCAAACACATGGGTGTTACACAAAATGGTGAAAAGAAGAAAGGGGGGGAGGGAGAAAAGAGGAGAGGAAAGTGAGAAAAATATCAAAGGAAGGAAAACCCTTGCACTCCCCAGGGCTTCAAATAATGTAAAAACACAAGAAAATATTTGCTATCTTTCGGCGCATGGGTTTTGTCAGTCACTCCACGTTTTGACACTGGACTTTTCATATCAAAAGGACTTGGCCGTCGTGCAAGACCTTTACTCTGGAGGACAATGGGGAAGCAAGGTTGCAAGGGTGCTAAGCTACTGGGTGCCACTTGTCTCCTCTAAATGAGTAACGGGAGATTTGTTTTTCAATATGAGTCATGAGGATAAGAGTGGTTATTTCAGGGCTACTGGAAATACCAACTGCTAGAGCCTGAGGCTTCTCTCCCTGCCCGGCCCTGCCCTTACAAACCTGAACTTACAGGACAAGAGGGATGGGGGTTCACTGCTGGGTAGCCGGTTCAGCTGTATGTGGAAAGAAATGAAACAGTGTGGGGGAGCAGAGGTCCTGATGAAGGTATCACTAGTTTTTCCAAAGTTTGGAGCAATAGACAGGCTTCCAACAGGGGGAGGGGGAGATTGCTCAATGTCCTACTCACTTAAAGCACTTTCAGCTCATGGAACATTTATTGGGGGTCAGCACTATCCAGGAAGCCAAAAATGAGCAGGCACTCAAGTTTTTGCTGATAAAGGAACAAGGGAAATGGTCATCTCTGCCCTGACCAGTGTGACAGGTTCCCTTTGTGTTGGGCAAAGCTTACAGCCAATGGTGGGCTACAAACCCTTCACAGTCAACTGCCAAGTTTTGGTCCTTACGCAAACATTATTGTTTTTCTTCCTACAGCTGGGGTACTTACAGTAATTTCTGTATGATTTCTGTTGAGCTGAATAGGTTATTCAAGACTGTAGAAGGTGGATTTGAGCTTGAAGCAAGTAAATACAAGTGTAGCATGACATCAAGAGAGCGCCAAGGGAAGATATTTCTCAGATTCTTGCTACTCAGAATGGGATCTTCACCCCACCAGCAAGGGTGGGACCTGGGAGTCTGTGAGAAATGCAGACTTTCCAGCCCCATCTCAGGCCTACGGAATCAGAAACTGCATTTTAACAATATCCCTGGTGATTCGTGTGTATGGAAAAGTTTGAGAAGCAGTAGCTTGGAACACGGAAGACCTTCCTCATCTGAAGGCATGAGACTTCGGTCAAGGCATAACCAAGCCAACTGACATCCAAGGGTCAACCAAATGGTTCATCGATAACATTGAACAGTGGCAGATAAAATATAACCTGTTCTCGTGTGCTGCCACAATTTCTGATGGTGAGAACGACATTTTGCCCCGCACTTATATTACGTCATCCATGAGGGTGGTCACCACAGTCTTGTGAGGTAAGCAGTACAGGTTCTAGTGACGGCCCCATTTTACAGGTGGAGAAACTGAGGTTCTCAGAGGTTGGGTGACTTTCCCAAAGGCACGTGACTCTGGTGAGGTCCAGCTGGCACTTGAATGCTGAGCACCTGGCTCCAGGAAGAAGTCCTTCTGCAGCGGCTTCTGAGCCCATGTAATAAGGATCAGGCTGGTTGTGTGGCTGAAATGAAATCAGTGTGATGTACGCTTGAAAGGAAACAGGATTTCTCCAGTGGGGAGTTGGGAAAAGGAGATAAGCTAACACGATGCTGGCAGCTTCCGATATCACATCCCAGGTGTCTGGCTCCACAAAGAATTCGCCTTCACATTCATATCCTTCTTAGGTACACGAGGGTGAGCTGATGTCAACAGACCAGCCCATTGACACCTAGAAACCATCCAGGACACCATGCATCCCTCAAATCTAGGACAGGTGCCTTCTTTTGACAATAATGGCCTATTTTTCCCACAGCAGGGTGACCAAACTCTTTCCTTCATCTCCAAATGAGGCTAAAAAAAAAAAAAAACACCCAGATTTAGGGCTTCTTGCTGCTATGAACTAACTTGAACGGAAAGCCCATTGTTCAGCCTTGTTTCTTCGGCCACCTGCCTAACCTGATTGTAGTCACTTAGAGAGAAGTTCCCCGCAGAGAAACTGAAGAGCTTTGCTTAAAGTAATCAACAGAGACCTTGGGGTCTGTTGCAGACCTCAGGAGACATTTTAGCAACTGTGCCTGGGGGCCTGTTTCTCCAGTCCTAATCACTCCTCCTGAGGTCGTCTATAAAACTGGATCTTGATGGGCTTTGGTAAAAGGGGCCACGTGGATCCTGAGAAAGAGGTAAGCTGAGGCAGGCTGGAGAGCTAAGAGTAGGAAGATCACCATTTTGTGAGCTGTGTCGCTTAGCGCTTAGTTGGCCTGCCTCCTGGAGTCACTAACTTCATGTGGGAGGCCAAGGTAGGAGAGAAAGAATCAGAGTTCCAGGAATGATGTCCAATTAAACTAACTCAGTGTATCACTGGTTCAGTTCAGCTGGTCTTCAGGACAAACAAGAAATCAGAAGTCCCAAGAGAGGGGCGCCTGGGTGGCTCATTCATCAAGCATCTGCCTTTGGCT